GCAACTCTCATCATTACTGGTTAGGCTCGCCCCACTGGCTACAAGGCTAAGGCGTTTCCAAGACATTTCCTTAAGCATTATAAACATAAACATTTCTGCAATTTTATTATACATCCATTTAAATCGAAATGTTGAATTAAACAAGGAATCTGTCATAGAATAAAGTAGAAATTAAAAAAAAAAAGGAATGATAAAATCTTTTTATCTTCTCTAAGTCCTATATCAGCGATAATGCAATAATTCTTCAATAGTCAATGTTTTGAAATAATTTTGGCAAATTTATCTTAAATTTTCTCAAAATATTCGTTTAATGCGCATAGAACATTATATATTTCATTCGAATAAATATTAATTATTTATAAATATTTCTCAAATGCCAAATGAGAAAATTTTGGAGAAAAATTTTTCACCCACACATAATGAATAAAAAAATTCAATTTAAATAAAAATAAGTAGAAAAATAGAAAAGGAATTTAACAAGAATTATCCCAAAAAAATCATGAAAATCGCTTCAAAAACTTGAAACTGAAACGGAAATATTTCGCAAATTGGATTTTAAAATAAAAAATTAGCATTATAAATTCAGAGACTATTCAGTGGCTATCCAGACATCAATAAAATAACGATTTTTCAAAGAGAGTATTGTAAATTCCCTTTCTCATCCACTGTGTGGCAGGCGTCACCTTCATTCAAGGGTCCATCACCAGAGGCCTGGAAGAACTCCGTCGGGAAGGAGAGGAGAGATTTTGGCTACGACCCGAACCCAACCGTATTCAATACTGATTAGGCCTCCTCCGCTGGCTTGTCGGACTAGACAAATATGCCAGGTAGACCTTTAATGATAGAAATATACAAGTTAGTTTGACTGGCTTTACTGACTTCAAAGATGATGTTTAACCATTTAGGAAAATGAAAAGAGGAGTGCTGCTAATAGCTACTCGAATTTCACTTTTAACGTTTTACTGTTAAGAGATGCGTCCAATGAATGAAAAAACTTAAGGAATAAATAAATGAAATTCTGGTGAAAAAACCCTTAATGGAAGAATCGACCAGTATACAGTTGAATTTTTGGATTTCACGCAAAATTGTGGATATAAAATAAACATGGACTGGTTACAAAATTCGTTTTTTAAATCAAACAAAGATAAAATCAATTAACTAATCAGCGATCTATTTTTAGAAATATATAATCTGATAAAAAATAGTAACAAAGATAGCTTTCAGCGGTGGCTTTATCAAATATCACCTATCCATTGGCTTTTTTTTAGTACATTTAATATTTTAATATTTAATATTTAGTACATTTAATAATTTAATATTTGAAACGATACTTCAATTATTAGCAAAATTTTTCCTTTCGCAATTTTTTTTTGCTTAATTTATTTTGAATGGTTCCATCGCTTGGCGTGGATGGTGCAAGCAAGGAAATAGAAGGAAGAAATATAACCAAAACTCTCGATTAAATTCATTTAGGGAATTATTTTCTGAATTATTTCCATTTGCTGTTTCAACCACTTCTCACATAAAAAGAACGACGAATGTTGCTTTAAAATTTTTGCTATTTTGCGACATTTGAGCATTTTTACGAATCGAAAATAAATTTCGTCATCGCTATTTAAAAAAATATAAATTAAATGATGTCCAACGAAATGAAAAATAAATTTAGGCTCGAAGAAAGTGAGGAAATTTCGACATTACGGACTCAGTAATTAATTAAAGACTCAAGCGATTTATTGAGATTTGAGATTCATCCATGTAAACGAGACCGACGAAAATAATTCTAATAGATCGACCTTGTCAGTGAGTGAAAGCATTTCGCCCCAGGGTTTGCGAACATATATTGTAAGGTGAAATTAGTGAACGATGCTTAGCATATCACAGTCAAAGTGCTTATCAACTATCGGAACTGATCATTTTTATTAGTAAATTTTCTCACGCATAATGATTGGAAAGAAATAGTTTTTGACCAAATAATTTGTAAAGTATAACAATTTTTTGATCGAATGTTGTAGAAAATGGATGGAATATTTTTATGAAATTTTTATGTGAATTTTTAACAAAGTGATTGATCATCAGCAATCAAATCGATTGATTATTTGATAGGAAAGCAAAGCAAAGTTGATGAATAATGAAACCTGGAGGACATGGAATTGATCAAACATACATGTATATGTATACATATATATATATATATGTGAACAGTCATTTATATTAAACAAAATGCAGAAAGAAAGAAATGTTGACAAAGAAGACGCATGAATGATAACCAGTGATAACCATATCAGCAATGCCAATGCTATCGTCTCATTAGTTTGTTTAGAATATGGGGACTCTTTAGAATCCAAAACGGTACTTTAAGGGATCAACCGACTCATTCAACAGTTATTAAGCAAATTGTTGCAAAGCACGCAAGAATTTCCATGACTCCCATTGCAGTGATAATCCTTAAAAATTTTCGAAATCGCAGATTTCTTCAGTTTTATTAATTAAAGAAATTATACCTACAATATAAATAGAAATATATACATAGAAACATACACATAATATAATTGCCATCTTCCGAAACTTTGTCGTAGAACTAAAAACTTGGCAATAATACATTATTCAGAAAATCACTACCGTCATACCGTCATACCGAGCGAGAAATATTCACTTAGCAAATGAAATGTTGAAGGGAAATTGCCTGAGAGATTATCAGCCAATATCAATAACCGACTATTCAGTGACGAAGTGATTAGGAATTTTTTGGCTGTTAATTCAATAAATTTGGAAATCCACATTTGTTTGATGAAACAACGCCAGTTAATCGGGAAAAAAAGCATGATGAAATATTGTATCTATTTTCCATTCAAAGCTTTTTTAAATCGAGCAAAAGTCAGCAAAATTCATCTTTTGCGCTCAACGTGGATTTGTTTCTTACGAAGCTGAGGTCGATAGCAACTAAATTTGCAGCTTATCTCAGTTGATCCGAGGATAATTTTTATATTTTCATTTAATAAATAATTTTCATTAGTTTTTAATAATTCGTTTGAAATTAAAATAAGAAATTTTAAGAAAAAAATAGAGGACAAAGCAGGTCGAAAGAAAGCGACGAAAGGGGTTAACTTCCTTTTTATTTTTTGTTTTGTTTAGTTAAAAAGTGGTAAAATTTTCTTTCTTTCTTCTTTATTTATAATCATAAAATTTCCAAATTTTTTCCACATTTTATGAAAAATTTGTGGAAAAAAATTTTTTTATTTCGTATTTCTTCAATTCCTTCAATTATTAATTATTAAATTTCAAACATTTGCCGAAATTTCTAATCGAGCACATCAAATCTATAATTCTTGAGCACTGATGAATAGATTTTACCTGAAGTATGAGGAGACAGCCTCACAGTTCTTCATGGAAGGATTATTGAGATGTGCAGTCTGCACGTCATTTTTGTTTACCATGTTCTGTCGACCTGTCTGGGAGCAAACGAAGCCGATAGATCGACTGCATGGATAGATCTACAACAGGAAATAATTTACTCATTATGGATGGCCGTGATCATGTTTCATCGATGGACGGGGTATCTCGGAAGATTTTGTTTTGAAATTTTATAAATCTTGGATGAATTTAATAAAATTTAATATAAAATTTAATATTCAATATATAAAATTTAATATTTAATGTTTGGACTGGAAAAATACTCCTTTCTATTTTATAAAGAAATTACCCATGATAATTTCGTTATCAGTGTCGATCAGCAGTGGATGCTACAATAATCGAGCTTGCTACTGGACTGGAATTGGGACTTAAGAGCTTATCAATGTGAGATTTGATTCTTCTTAATTTTGTCTAGGAAAAATCAGGCAGGTTCATTCAGATGTTTTCTCTTAGATTTGTATGGAAATAATCATAAAATTTATTAAATTTACGAAAGAAAACGTTCGGAGGTGAAGCTGCTAAATAATTATTTTTCTTAAACGCAGATCTTGAAACGGCTTTTATTTTACGGTAGGGTTCATTTATTGATAGCGGTTTATAACAGTGCTGTAAATTTTTCACTGTGGTTTAGGGTTGTTTGGCTTTTTATGGTACTATAGTGCTTCTCAGTGTTTTTTGATAGGTATTGAATTTAGCCCTAAATTGGAAAGTTTGATTTTGGAGGTTTTCATATTTTCTTCAAAAAATCTCTTTAAAATTTTTGCAGATTTCCACATAAAATTTAACTTTTTTGAAGTATTTCTTAGTTTTCTCTTGGAAGGAGCGTTTTATTCTTTTAAGGCCCTACTAAATCCTTTTAAATTATTTTAAATTTCTTTAAACCTATTCACTTAAAAGCTCTTGTAAATTGTATAAATGTAAAAATAGTCCGATGATTTTTAAATCATATTAGAAATTCTATACTTTTTATTTATGTTTTTAAATGGCTCAATAATTTGTAAAAAATTCACGGTAATAAGATTTATTTATTTGTTATTTTTCAAATTCCTATACGTTTAATTTAAATGATAGTTTTTATGGTTATAGAAGAAATATTTTGTGAAGAACTTTTACGTTTGCGATTATTGGATTTTCTTAAATATATCATTTATTTGATCATTAAAGGGAGGAAATTTTATAATAAAGCCCATCAGGTACTATTTTCCCGATAAGTACAATATAAGTTTTATTGTCACAACTATGGTTCGTTATTGCTTCCGAACCCTTGTTTTGGAGATTCTTAGTTTTCGTCTTTCCATATTTTTTGAATCTGTTAAATATACTTAACCAATATATTACGAAAAAATTTCAAATATTTTAAAATGGCGATTGCAGGTTAAATTTTTATGGATGTTTTGGTTTAATATTCAAATTGACGAATTTTATTATACAGGTAATAATTTATGAAATTATATTTGCCCATTATTATTTTTTAGTAAGAAATTTCTTCTGTTATCATTAGCGATCATCATTTAAATTGAAATATAGCTTTTTCTTCGCTATAATACTGCTGGAGAGAACCTGAACGAAAAATTGTTGAGAGTGGTTTTATGGAAGGTGCTCAGTCGCCGTCTCCAATTTTTCATCACACCAACGATTCGGATATAAATTAGTAAGCAAAGATTTTCCTCTATTGTACGATTGAATATAAATTATGAAAGATAGTAGAAAAATAGTTTAGGAGAAAATGTTTTTCAAAAATTTACATAAAAATACATTACATAATTTACATAAATTTACAAATTTTTTGAAATTTTTTGTTATTACAGATTAATAAATGAATAAAAATAGATAATTTTTATATAATTACGCATATTGAATGGAGTTGTTTTTATTTTTTCAGTTTCCATCTGCCAAGTTCAATGGATGATCCGGAGCCTTCCTCGTTCAATCTCCGTTTAATCGAAGCAGTGCGTAATAGTCGTTGCTTGTACGATGCTAAGGATCGGTTGTATCGGTCAGCAGATCACAAAATTAAAGTTTGGAATCGTCTCGTTCAGGCTCTTCAGTTTGATGGTATTGCAGCTTTCGATATAATTTAAAAACTAATCGTTTTTACTTCAAATTTTTTTAAAATTAGGTTTTAAATTATTTTAAATTTTTTAGGTGATGCTCGTAACTTATATAATCGTTGGAAACAATTACGTGATAAATATGGTAAGGAAAAGAAAAAGTTGAAATATTCCGGTGATCCGACAAGTTGGCAATATTTCAAGCATTTAACGTTTCTCGATCCACACATGGTTGATCGCCAGCAGCAGCAATTTTCACGCGCCAAAGATGGGAAAGGAGTCATTCTTTCTTCTGGAGGAGTATAAAATATTAACAAATAAAGCATCATTCAATACTTTTTACTCTAAATTCCTCTATATTTTATTTTATTTGTGATTGTTTTGGATTATTATTTTTTGATTATTGCAGACGCCTCATCAAATCGTGATCACCGATCCAAATTTTTCTTCAAATCTAATTCGTGAAGTACAACAGCATCCTTGTCTTTATGACATTAGGGATCCGAAATATCGACATTCTGAATGCAGAAATCAGTCCTGGTCCGAAATCATTAAAGTCCTCGATTTCCCTGGTATGGCACAATCGGAGATTTGAAATTTTTTTTATTCAAAAATTTTCACTTTTTTGTTCTTTTTATTTATTTTAAAGTACAGAATATAAGTTTTATTTATTGTTGAAAGGGAAAAGAAGCAAAAAGAAATGATTTTAAGAAGAAAAAAAAAGAAAAAGAATAAAAAGAAACTAAAAAGTAATAAATAATATCATCGTTAATGGCAATTTGCTTTTTGAAATGATTTTACGTAGGAATCATATAGCGATATAGAAATATAGGTCGCAATGAAATCCTCTGAGATCTAACAAGTTTTTGATTGACAGGTTTACACTTATTGAAGGTTAGATTTGAATATTTGAAAATTCACAGGTGCTTTTCTGTCTACTCACTCATAGACTGTTTTATTTTTTATTTTTATCAACACTTTAGTCTGCTACGTAAATAAATAAATAAGAGATTACCATTTATCATCTTTGGTCAGATCCGATTTTCTACAGTTTTCAATAGCAGGTGTATTCCTGCGGAGAACAGAGGCCGGATTGTTGTATTCGAAAGGAAATTGAAGTTGTGACCAAATTACTTGGTTTGTTCTTCCTCAAGAAAGTTTTTCATACTTTCTTTTTTGTTCATTTTTTATCATTTTCATAATTTTGCTAATTTCAATGAATCCAGCGTATTCAGGTGATATCAACTCAATTTACAAGCAATGGAAAAAAGTTAGAGATCGATATGTTAGAGAGAAACGCAAAATTCGGATGTCAAGTGTAACTGGTGGTGAAGTAGAAGAATCTCAGTGGGATTTGTTCCCACAGATGGCTTGGATTGATCCCTATTTAGATGATAGGGCAACGTTAGTACTATCAGACATATTTCAGGATATTATTTTTCAATCATAACATTTTTATTTACTAATTTATAGTTTTTATTCTCGATTTTTCAGGCATGTTAAACGAAAGCGAGATAGTGAAGAATTGTCAGACGATGGCTATTTAGATGATATAGTTGATCAGCATGGTCATCATGGCGTTAATCAACCAATTCACACTTCTTATTCTACAATGGTCCTCCAGCCAGATTCAACCCATACTGTGAAAACGATTCAGCATCTTCATCAGCCAAGTTCTTCAATTTTCAATTATTCAATAAAATTGTTACATTTCTAATTTTCATATTTATATTTTTATGTCTACTAACAATTTTCACCATTATTGATAGGCTGAACTCGCTGACTATAAAGGTAAGATGTTTCCAAACTGCGCCATCTGATTTGTCGACAGTAATAGAAGCCATTCCTTATTCCATCGTCTAAATCCAGATGTTGATCGTCTGCCTATACGTTTAAAATTTTTTTTGACCATATCAGTCTAGATCTTGACTGGTCCACCTCGCTTTTGACCTGCATCGATGTATGCTGATAAAATATTTTTATAAGTTGAATGGAACACCGTTTCATCAATCTCCAAAGCGTCGTTTTATCAATTGAATCGAAGGCACCCGTAAATTCGATGAAACATGTAATGGTGGTTTTGACGGCGCTTATCACACGGTTTAGTAATGGAATATGTGTTAGCTCTTGCGATGGGCAACGAAAAACGTGCCCTAATCAGGATGACGACGCTCTGTGATGATACCGTGAATGCAACACGATTCCATAAAGATTTCTTCAACCGAAAGAATGCATTTCTAGTTGCCATTATCCAAGTAGTAATTTAGTCTTTTCTGGTCATTCGGTATAGAGTGTACCATTGGTATTTAAAATCGAGCAGTTCTTTAATCGGCCATGAGTTATAAAAAGAGACATTTTGTCAGCTTCTTATATATAAGTCGAAAAGACTTTCGTTTTATTTATATTGAGTCCTATTCTTGCTGCAGTTGCTGACACGTTATTACTTGCATTTCATAACTGTCAGCAAAAAGAACTATATCATCAGCGTATTTAAGATATGTGATACGATGCTGTGGACTGATTTGGACACCCTTTGAGTGTCGACAAGTGGTGTCCATTACCCAGTCTATCGCATAGTTGAATACTGTAGAGGATGCAGCCTTGACGGACACTGGTTTTTATTTCAAAGGAATCTGTCAATTCCCCATATACAGAGACCTGCATCGATGTATGCTGATAAAATATTTTTATAAGTTGAATGGAACACCGTTTCATCAATCTCCAAAGCGTCGTTTTATCAATTGAATCGAAGGCACCCGTAAATTCGATGAAACATGTAATGGTGGTTTGCAAATATTGTTCCAACACTCTTCTTAACGTGAATATCTGGTTATCGGCATAATCGCGCTCCGGTGTGAATCCAGCTTATCTTGCTGTCCCATATCATCATAAATTTGCTGAGTAAAAGGAAAGCTTTTCTGAAACGTCCACTAGGCTGATTCCTCGATAATTGTAGCATGTTCTGTCGTCTTTCTTGAGAATTGAGAGCAGAATTGCTTCGCTCCACTCATCTTGTAATATTTTTTTTTCCATACTAAAGAGTATATTTGTTGAAGATGCGTTATGAAAGACGATGGACATTTATAGAGTTCAGCCGGGAGGCCATCTTCTTTCGGAGCCTTATTAATCCTTAAGCTTATAGATTATAGACATTATTTTCTTTTTTGTTGGCGGTTTGCAATTACAAACATATGATTCGACGAAAGTTTCAGCTATATCCGATGCAACAGATGGCGCGTCATGGTTAAATTTGTCTTGAAAGAATTCCTTCTATCTTATGAGGAATAATATTTTTAGCTGGTAAACCACTCATATCCCGTACTATTTCATTTCTCGAGTTATAGCTGTTTTATGAAGAAGGCGGAATAGTTTCCTATTATCGCCTAATCGAGCCGCGATCTCTATTCTTATTATATTATTAAGGCCATATGACTCCAAAAATGATTTCCCGCTATGCTGTTGTTTCAATTCTTCGATGCATCTGGTATTCAGATTCTCTGAAATTTGTTTTCAGACAGTTGTTATTTCCGATACTCAACTAGGAGTTTCCTTAATGTGGTAGAAGTGGCTGACTTTTGGATACATTGCTTTAGGTTGGACCATTATTCATTCATTTACCGTTCCAGAGAGATCATCAATATTTATACCAATGAAGCGCTTCAATAATTCGGTTTCAAATGCGCTCACTGTATATCCGAATTTCTTAATTTGAAAAATCTTTGGGGAAATCTTTGGTTGTTTTTTGCGAGTTTATGAGGATCTTGGCTCGTACCATAACATGATCAAATCCATGATAATTTTATGTCGCTCATAAATTTTGTTTAGCGATTCTAATAATTTTATTATTTAATTTAATGAAAAATGAAATTTAATTTAATGAAAAATTTAACCTGTCATTTTCAGATTCTGTTAGCATACATAATCAACGAACCATCGGACAAACACAAGGAACTGTTCTAGTACAGCAACATGATATGCATACAATGGATGGTGATAAAGCTTTTGCGTTGAGTGTTACTGCTGATATGATGGGTCTACCTGATCATGCTCGTATAATTGCCAAAGCACAAATTCAGAATTGGTTGGATAATTCTCGAGTTCTTCCTCAGACGCAGTTTGATGTTAAGTAATTTATGTGAAATTTTCATCAAATTTTTTGAAGTTGATTTATTTGAAATTGTAAATTTTTTCATTTTAAAGTATTTTTTAATTTTTCTTAAATCTAATGATCTCCTAGTTTCATGGAGAGCTTGTATTCTTATTATTCTTATTCTTCAATATTTTTTTGTGAATTATTTTAATCGGCTTGCTTATTATTTTCTTCTTAAATTTTGGCAGAGATTCAAGTTTTGAAACTCACTTTTCGCCAAGGCAAAAAAACAGGTAGATTACGCTGAAGGGATTACGCTGGAATAAGCTTATTTATTCATTTGTTAAAGTTCTTTTAAATTTTTCTTCTATAAGCTAACATATAATTCTTTTTAACTATTAAAAGTTTGAATTTTTAAATTTATTTGTTTCTGTTGGGTTTTTGGAAGTATTAGTAAATTAAGAGAAATGGAGATCGTAATTCACTTTCCTTTTTTCTATCTTTGGACCCATAGGTTTTTCTTTATATCTTTTGTATCTATAGTTATTTTATTTTGCAATTTTCATTTTGTATTTGTGGTTATTATTGTTATTTGTGATTATTATTATGTAATTTTTGTATATTGTTTTATCTTTTTTTCTACAGTTGCCATTTTTTCAATTTTTTCAAGTCAATGCTTAACTTTAGTTATTCTTCTAACAATTTATTTCCTCAAAAGCTTCATATTATAATGTATTAAAATTTTTTACATTTTTATATTTATTTTTTCTACTGAGTTTACAAATTTTTTCTTCGAATTTTGTCCAAAAAATTATCCAAAACTACTTTAACAGTTATTGGATATAAAAATTGCCATAAAAATTTGGTTTGTTTTATTCATCATTTCATTTTGAGCGCATTATGATTGCACAAAAAATACTTCTAAACGGCGATTATATTTTAAACAACTATTTTATAGCTGGCGAAGGGAATATGAGAGGTGGTGAAGTAGGGTGCTCGAGTAGATTGATCATCATCAGTTCCTCCTTGTAGAGAAGCATGTTGTCAAAAGTGAAATTCGAGTGATGGTGGTTTTCCCACATTGTTCTTATCCTTGTTTTGCTGTTGTCTGGTGAGGAATGTTCAATCTGTTGATCAATTGAAGTTGGATAAACTGATGTTAAAAGGTGAAGAACCATGACTTAAATAATTTTTCAGGGTTCTCTTTGCAAGGGAAGGAGGAAAAATGTCAAATGCAGAAGGTAAGTCTTGCTTCGCATCAGTTTTTTTGTTTTTTAAAAAATTTTTAAAAAATTTCTTTAGAAATTTGATTAAATAATTTATTCGTAATGTTATTTGTGTTAGTAAGGCTAAGTTTATTAGGTTCTAAGTTTAAAAGGGAAATACCTGATGGAAATCCACTTTTGTCAGTATTAAATTTAAATCTAATTAATAGTTAGTAGAGCAATCAAGCAATAAATGTTGAATGCTATTAAAAGAAACAACATGAAATGCATGTGTAAATCGTTATATAGAGTTCCTCCCTGTTTTGATGGATTTTGTCCTTATATTTTTCACCATTAGTAGTTTTTTCAAAAATTCGTCAATCGCTCGAAAGTTGTTGAGATTTGGAGGATTTAATGAAGTTTTGTACCTGATTTCGATTTGGTCATATAATTTAAATCAAATCAAGTAGTGTCTTAGTTTTAAAACTTTTTATAATTTTTTTACTTATAACTATATCTTTTGAATTATTTTATTTTTGAAGATATTTTGAATTTTGAGGATTTTCATGGTCATATTTTTAGCCATGAAATGGAGAAATTTCTTTATCGGCGCAGGCATTCCAGTTGCTATTGCTACTCGGTATTCTAAGACATTTAGCGAGCAACGAATACACTTTTCAATGCTTGATGAAATTGATAAAAATACACTTATACAGTTAGGCGTTACCGCTATTGGTGATCAGGTGAATGATAATTCTAAAATTTATAGAAATGTGTAAAATAAAATACTGAAACAGATCTATAAAGAATCAGGTAAAATGATGAATTTTTTTATTTTGGCTGTTCACGATTATTGATAAATTTAAAATTAATTAACTTAATATTAAAAATTATTGCTGAATGATTTTATTAATATATATTATTTATTTATTTAGTTTTCTTTACAAATAGCAAAGATGAATAACTTCGATAATTTCTTCAGTAGTGAATAGTGCGAATAAAAAATTTTTCGGTACTACTCTTAAATAATCTATTACACTCGAATCAGATTGAACTCATAAAATTTATCGCAGTTCAATAAATTTAGTATAAAATTTACAATTAATCAATGTAAATTATTGTTTAAGTTTTGGCTTGTAAAGAAGAGCTATTTAGTCTATTTAAAATTTCTTGTGTTCTATTGTGTTATAGCCAAATAAATATCAATTAATGTTTCAAAACTTCTTTGTTTTTAAATGATTTAAGCATCTGATAAATTTGAAATTGATTAGATTAATTTTGGATGACTTTTCCTTTTCTTTTTTGTGAGAATCTAGATTTTCACCGATTCTACCTTTATTGTTGTGATAAATATTATTATAAGTAGTGATTTATTTTAAGTTTTATACCAGATTTCAAGAAAACCGGTTAAGGATTTGTTGTTGTTCTTCCATAATGAAGATTGATAATCAGGCCTGTCTTCTTAATGACAAATTTTATTGTTTTTAATATAAGAATAAATGTTAAAATTCAACATAATTTTACTAAAAGAATGGAGATTTCAATATAACATATTATAATTTGCTTAGTAAAATCAAATAAGAAAGTAAATAAGAATGGACATCGACTTGAGACATTATAGTTTTAACAGGCAGTTGCGATATATATGTTGGATTACCTTATAAGTACTTATAATTATAGATTGCTATTCTAAAGAATGTTCGTTTAGCCGTTGAAAAAAAAAATGAAATTTCATCAAAATCAATTGAGAAAAAAGTTTCGTTCGATACCAGTGGTAAGATTAAATAATTTAATTGTTTTGAAGTTCAAAACTTAATTTTAAAGAAAAAATTTCAATTTAAAAGTGAATAAAATTTAAAATCTATATGGTTCTTTTAAACTTTGAATTTAATTTTTTAATTTAAAGGAATTTGGATCTAATTCAACAATTTGTAATAAAAATTAAAATAAAAATTAATTTTAGTCGGTATATGTACTCGAAATTTTCAAAATTTTTTAAAATTATTTTCCCAGCCTCACCATCCAATCAGTCTTTGGCTCCCGATCGAGATGACATTTATCATGTGCGTTTGCCTACTGGTAACACACCTAAAACAAAGGCCATAATGAAAAAGCATGATATGTTGCGGACAGCTGGTTAGTTTTTCGTTCGATGCAGCTTAGTTTATAAGTTTTTTTTCATATTTGCGAATTTTTGTATCATTTTTTTTTTTTGCTGTAATCTATTACATCCATTTTTTGATATGAAATAGTAGCCTTGGCAGTATATCGTAATGAAATGGGGATAGGATGGCTCAGTAGGTTATTGCTTAATTCGGAGAGCCAATACTGAGGTTCTATTCCCCGCAGAAGTAAATCTATTCAAAAATCTGGGTGATGCTGGCGACTCACCTATATTTCTGTCGCCAAGACATATTTGTCCAGTGCGACAAGCCAGCGAAGCGAGTTTAACCAATAGTGGTGAGGACTCTCAAAAAAAAAAATTATCATAGTGAAATATATTAGGTTATCAAATTTTTGTTATATTATGATAGTATTTAACTTTCAAGGTATTTTGAAGCGAGGTTTTACTGGAGTTCGCAAGTCGGGCAAAGATATTCGACCAATTTCAGAACAAATACTAAAGAAAACCTCTCATCAGGGAAACGGTATAACATTCCGTTTAATGCAAACAGCTGGTTATTTTATGAATTCTTTTTGTGGTTTTATTACCTTTTTCAACAACATTGTTTTTTTTCATTTTAAAAATTATAAATGAGATATGTGGTTTCTTTCAGAAGTATCTTCAACTACTGATAATTTTTATGAACGTTTGGGTGTTCGTGGGCTTGTTTCTGATTCCATTAAAAAACCTGTGGTCAAACCGTAAGTACAAAGTTTTTATGTTTTTAAATAAATAATAAATACTTTTTTATTTACTTTTTACTTCTACACTTTTTTTATAAGTGATATTTATCCAACTTTCATGTTGATTGAACATGAAACAACTATTGTATGGATGTCTGTTATTCCGTAAATTTGCAGAAAATCTCCTCGTCGGTCACTGTTTCAAACGGCAATAGATGAAACTACTTCAGAAGCTGTTGTTGAGCCCGTATTTCGTGTTCGATTACCATCCCTTCAAGAAAGGGTCTCAGTGGTGGTTCCGAAGCGAATCCCAATGACCAAAAAGGTTTATGAAATCTAGCCACTAATTCTAAATGGTAACAATACCTAGCCTTTTTTTCAGAATTATTCAATCAGTAGTGGATTTGTCGCGAAATATGCCCAAATGCCATCACGAAATTTAATCGTTACTACTAGCTCTTCTAAAAGGATTCGTCAAAACATTCGTGGTCGAATTTCAGTTTTCGATCGCTTAAGTTAAGACGCTTAAGTTATTATCTGGTTAGAAGGAATGAATGAATGAATGAATTGATTCTTTTATTTTCATTTATTTTTCCAGAAATTTTAATTTTTCTCTTATTATCTGTCGGTTACATGAAAACAATTGTTTTCTCATAGTATTTCTCAATTTTCTCATTCAAATTAAAGTTTAATGTATTGTTTTATATAAGCCATCAAGTAATAAAGATTTTTTTGTCTTGACCATGAATTATATTATATTTTGGATAATTGTGCTTCAGTATATATTATTTCTACCGATTCCATCTTAATTTTAATTTCGGTTTTCTAGGGCGATTCATCGTTTACTGATTTTTTTTGGTTTTATCTCGAATTTGAATTTATTCGCTTATCTAATTTTGGTTTAAGTTCAATCTAGTTAAAGAAGAGGTCGGTTAAACAATGGTTTTGGTCGACTTGTTGAATAAATATGGGTAATTCAATAGTGCCTTATGACCAAGATTGTTTACCTTGTCATCTATTATTCGCATATGAGGATGATAGATTGGCTTAGTGAGTTGCTGTTATTTCGAAGTTCTGATGCTGGAGTTCCAATTCCAGGTGTAAACGTATATTTCAAAAATTTAGGTGATTATGGCTATTGCACCTTTGTTTTTTCGCCAAATATCTAGTAAAATTTATGTTGTTTGTCAACTTTCGCTCTACGAGGCTAACCAGAAATGGTCGACTTTAGAATCGCCAACTTCTTGGAAGAAGTGAGGAATTTGAAATAGACAGCCAGGTGAAATGGGCTCACAGTAGACGTTTTTCAGAAAGCGAGTTTTCTTTGAATTTTTGGATTTTTCTGTGCAGTATTTTTGGCGACTATGGCTAATAAACGCATAATATGGATCGACTGTGAAATGACGGGATTACGCCGTAAGGACAAAATAGTTGAAATTGCTTGTGTCGTTACTGAAGCTGATTTATCGGTTAGCTGATTTCTATAAAAGAAAAAACTTTTCTAGCTACTTTATTCTCATTTTATATATAGAATTGAGCGATGATTTATGGTGAAAGTTTATATCGAAATGCAGGCTAGCAAGATTTCTTCTACGGTCAAAGTATTATTAACCAGTGTTGGGGTATCCATTCAGTGAAATACATTTTTCTTTTTCTTCCCGAAGGTGTATCGGCTTTTCGAATGTATCGATTACCACTGCCCACGTTTCAAAAGTTCGAAGTTTATGAGCCCATAATTCTGAAATTGATTCTGAAATAGAGTAGAAACTAGAAACTGAGATTAATAATGTCGAGTTTTTAGATTTTATTGGAAAACAATATTACTAAAAGTAGCCACTAAATTACTTAAACAATATTACTGAAAATTAATATTTTCCTTGAAATTTTCTTGAAAAGTTTAGTCCTTTTAACAGAAATATATTGATTAAAAAAAAAAACTAGTTGTCAAACGCAGTAATAATGCAATAATAAAAAATAACCCAAGTCATTTCGAATTATCATTGTAATTATAGATACCCAAATTGTTTGGAAACCAAATTCGTTGCTTTTTATTCGTTGATCTTTTTATTTTAGGTTGTTGGTGAGCGAATTGATATAGTTATTCATCAACCAGATGATGTTCTTACTGATATGAGTGAATGGTGTAAGAAAACTTTCACTGCTAATGGTCTTCTTGACAGAATCAGATCCAGCACTATTTCAATAAAAGAAGCCGAAAACCAAGTTCCTTTATTTCCGTGCAGAATAGCTAAAAAAATCCCTTTCTTATTCTTGTGGGTAGTAGGGAGTAGGGATTATCCTTATCTCTGGTCCTCTACTAGAGACCTGGCAGCTGTGGGTTCTGCTAATATCTTAACTGTTCCTAGCGATGTTCTGGTCGGAGATCTCTGATTCTTCTCTTCTTCTAGCAGCTCTCACCATTGCTAGTTAGGATGTCTCCGCTGGTTACAATGGTGAGATTTCTCCAAGCTTCTCGGTTCGACGCCATCCTAGTAGTAATAGAAGTCTTTTCTTTTTCCATCGTCTATGTCCATATATCGCTAGTCCCCTATAAGTTCAAAATCTTTCAATCTTTCCTGATTGTATCAGTCCAGGTCTTGATTGATTCTCCTCGCTTTTGATGCCAACAATCACAGTGTTCGGCAGATAGCGAAATATGCGTCAATTCCTGTGGTGGATGACGGAGAATATACCCTAACCAGCGAAGGCGACGCTCTGTGATAACATTATTAATATAGGTATATTTGAGCGAAGATGGATACAATCATGTATGATTTTATCCGCTCAACTCCGTATTTCGGATTCGTAAAATATTTTTAAACATGAGTGGCTGATAGCTTTTCTTTTTAATATCTTCCCCTCTTATCAGCCATGTTTCGCAGCCATATAGCAGGATTGAGAGATATATGGATGCAAATTTTCGTCTTTATGGTGATTTCGCGACGATTCCATACAAATTTCATCAATCGGAAAACATATTTCAAGCTATCGTTATCGAAGTTACAATTTCATTCTTTGTCTGGTCACTTGGGATTAGAGTGGATCCAAGGTAATTAAAGTCGGGCACTTCCTCAATCGGCAATGAATTGTTAGGTATTTTATTAGCATCTTGTAAATAAGACCAAAATACTTTCGTTTTATTCATATTGATTTTGAGTCCAATCCTCGCTGCAGTTGTTGGCATATTGTTTAACGTTATTTGAATTTCATTGTAACTGTCAGCAAAAAGGTACATCATCAGCATATTCAAGGAATGTGATGCTATACTGTGGACTGATTTGGACACCTCTTGAGTGCCAACAAGCGATGCCTAATATCCAGTCTATCGCATATTTGAATATTTTAAGAGAAAGGACGCAGCCCTGTCGGGCACCATTTTTTATTTCAAAGAGGTCTGTCACTTCCCTCATACACAAATCTGTGCCAGAATATGCTGATAAAACGCCTTTATGAGCCGAATGTTCTTCTCTGGAAAACCCTCACTTCCCAGAGAGCTACCCTATCAAGCGAATCAGATGCAAAATAAAGCAAGTGACGATGAATTTGCTAGTATTTGAAGCGATGTTCCAGCATCCTTCTTAACAAGTGTATTCTTAGCGTAAATATCTGGTCAGCACAACCGCCTCCCCGTCTAAATCCAGTTTGATTAGGACGCATTCTCCTATCTCGTATTGTTTAGCAGAAGGGAAGCGAAAATTTTTGAATTTTTCCGAAGATGTTTAGTAGATTGACTCCTTGTCGCAATACGTTCTTCTTAGAAATTGGAAGCAAAAATGTTTTGCTTCAGTCTTATATTTCTTGGTATTATTTTTTTTTTTATTTCCTTTTGCCATACATGAATACACTTGTTGAAAATGAATTATAAATAATCATTTATTGGTCTTAAGTTTATGAATTAAGAGATTATATCCTCTTCTGTTGGCGGATTGCAAAAAGGCTCGACGGCCGAATCAGTTATATCCGGGATAATAGATAGCGTATGATAGCAAACGATTAAGTTTGACCTTGAAAAATTCTTTCCATCTTATGAGGGCAGCCTTAGCTTTAATAGGTGCCCTATTAATATTCCGTATCATTTCACTGATCCTTTCTCGAATTATAGTTGCTTTATGAAGAAGGCGAAACAATTTCCTATGATCATCAGTCCGAGATATATCTCAAAGCCATATAGCTCCAATTGCAGTTTCTGTCTCGCCGTGCTGCTGTCGTTATAATTCTTCGAAGCACCAGATAGTCAGTATCTCCTGATATTTGGGCATTACCAGCTTTTTCAGACAATTGAGCAATTGCTTCCGACACCTAACTAGCGTCCTACTAGTATATTCTAGTGTGGAGATGGCTGACTTTTGATATCTTTGTTTGAGACCAGTATTCATTCGCCAAAGATATCATTGACGTTCATTTCACTGAGGTGTTTCAATAATACGGTTTGGAATGCTCTTATTGTTCGCTGATCTTTTAATATGAAATAGTTCAAAGATCTCGGGATACGTTGTTTTTTACGACTTGTCAGTTTTATACAAATCTTGACTCGAAGCATGATCTGATCCACGGCGGTTACCAGTTTTAGCGCCCCAATAAGAACGATTATCAAGAATTCTTCCAGCGGTGACTGACTGATATATAGTCAATCTGATTGCAATATTGGTTATCTGGAGAGTTGCACTTTCTCCGATACTGAAAGCATATATTAGTTCATATTGTTTGGCAAAAAAGGCATTCTCCATTGGCGCACTGGACTCTTGCCATATTTGCCATTTACCGAATTCCTTGTAATGATATCGTGTCCTACGCGTGCATTCCAGTCTCCCTCGATTATGACCATGTTACCTCTCAGTAGAGATGTTAACAGTTGAAGTTCAACATAAAACTTATCCTTATGACGGTCATCTGCACATAAAGTTGGGGCATATACACTGGTAACCGAAATATTGCAAAACTTTCCTTTGAAACGCGCGTGGGCTGTGCGGTCATTTACTGGCTTCGAATCAGAACGGAACGAGTCTTTTCAGATATGACAATCTCTACGCCATTTCTTCTTGACTGATTCGAGACACCACAGTAATATAGCCAATATCTTTGCTCGGAACCAGGTTTAATAATTACTCGACAGTCGACATGAGGTAGACGGACCTCTGACGAACAAGCCACATCCATGCCGTATTTCGAGACGGTGTGGACAGTGATCGCTTGGCTTATAATATATTCATAAGCATTCTGACTTTCCAAACAGCTATAGCTAGCTCCTCACTGCGTTTACAAAGTGTTAGCGGATAATCTTCCCTTTTCGCTTCATTTCCCTTTCGCTTCTCTTGATAGGTTTTGAGAGCTTATCTCGGTTCGCGAGCAAATTGTTTGTGCCTCGGGATTATTTCATTATTATTTTTTCGTCCGGATCATATATATTTATCACATATATCACCAGGTCATAAGTATCATGAGCATTGGAAGAAGCGGACTCGCGTCAAAGGGACTCACTTCTTTCACCATAGAGTCACTTAGACATAGTCCCCTGCAGCCATCCGGATTTTTGACACCATTATAGGTACTCCTGAATAGTAAAAATTTTAAAAAGTAAGGGAAATTTTAAGATAATTTTAAAAAGTTAAAAAAAGAAACTTAACTGATTCGGATAAGATTATGTAATAGCGATGGTATATTGCGTAATAATAGCAAATAATAAATAAGATTATAAAATAAGAATTATAAATACAAATATAAAATAAATATAGTAATCAAGTGATATTTTTCTAATCCAATCAGCCAATATTCGGTAAACCTCTGAGGGGCTCTTCCGTAAATATGTGGGATAATAATTTAACAAATTTTGAGATGAGCAATTGTAAAAAGTTGATTTCTATTTCTCCTTCCACTATGATTTTCTATTCCTTGAGTCCTGTATGATTTGGTATATCCTCAGCTTCTGAATCTGGTGCTTGGTACCCTTTTTATGCTGCTGTGATAAATGCCTTAGTGAAATCTTTTAGTCCAATTTTTTCCAACCATCACTGGTAGGATTTAGCAATGGTACATTTCATCTTGCTTCGCCAAGATATTTCATCTGCTTGGTCTTTCTTCAGTGCCTGTTAATGTTTTAGATATTCTTTCACTAATTCAACCAACTCAAATGAATGTTTATATATATATATATATTTTTTTTTGCAAATTTTTTTTCTGTTTATACCGCTCAAATAAATCGTTTAGAGTTTTTGCAGTTTTTAGATCGCATACTATAATAGATCTAATAAATTTCTTTTTTTAAGAGCAGGGCTAGGTTTATTTTTACTTTTTCCAGTTTTTTCTCTTGATCTCAAGTTTTTGTACCTTAGGTACTCAATCTTTTGACGAAATATACGAAGAAAGGAATGTGTCCTTTAGCTGGAAGTAGCGTCAGTGTTGATCGATTATTCATTAACCGACAAATGCAGAACCTTGCAGCGCATCTTCATTATCGAACAATTGATGTATCCAGTTTTAAGGAGGTAAATTTTACGGATTTTTTTTAGCCCAGTAAATATTCAGATATTTTGATACAGTTTATAAAATTGCATTATTATTATTTTTTCATTTTTATTTATGTTTTATTAATTTATATGTATTTATAATATAATTTTATATATATATATATAATAATATAATTTTAAGTATTGTCTCATCACTTTCCTTGTACATTAAAAATCGTTTTCTCATTTTAAACAATTTCTTTGTTGCAGATCGTTAAAAGGTGGTATCCAGAAAAATATGCTACAATGCCAGCAAAAATTGGAAAGCATCGTGCTGTTGATGATATTCTTGAAAGTATTGAAGAATTAAAGTGGTATTGCCGGAATATTTTCAAGGAAACAGAGATTCCTGTACAGTGATTATTTTGGTATATTCATTCATTTGCTAGTTCTATGGGATATATGATAGAAAGACACATGAAACAGCTACAGACGACATATTTGAACCAATGAAAAAACGACAGTCAAGATTTTCATTTGCAAATTTAAAAATTTTTTTAAAATTTATTCATGAAACAGTGAATTTGCCATTTTATTTACAAAATTTTTCCTCGACGGAAAGTAAAGTACAATTTGCAAAGTACAATGAACGCGCAAAGTAAACAATTAGTACAATTTTATTAATGGAAATTATAATTTTACTTTATAATACAGTTAAATAATTTGAAATAAAAAAGTTTAGTTTGTCATCTTCATTTTGATAACAAATTTGTTAGCAGCTGATCAAAAATGATATCATGTTTCCTACTTTCCTCTTTGAACTTCGAACAACAGTATAGCATTTCCTAGGTAACTGAAAACTCTATCGGAAGGAAACAGATGCCAAAGCACGAAACCAAAGAGCCAAAGCACGAAACCGAACTTTTCTTTGAGCAAATCGAAAGACCATAAAGAGGCATTTTGATCAATATTTGCAATTATTCGAAGCCTACATTGTTAAAGGAATAAATATAAATATAAAAATTTGTCATTTGTCATTATGTCGTATTTTCGTGTGATTTATTTTGGTCACGTAATTTTATTTAATACTATCGTATACTGTTGACTTACTTTTTATTTCAGATTTTTATCTCAAATTCCCTTATTTTCGAAGTCAAAGTACGAATCACAGAAGAGTAAAGTAAAAGGCTCTTTTACAACTCGAGTTTGATTTCACACATTTTTTGTTCTTGTCTTTATTATTCTTTTTCTGATGTTTCTTTGATTCGTTATAAAACAAATATTGTTGTTGATATAATTTAGTTTTCAGTCGGAGTGATGTTGGCGGCTCATCTCTATTTCTGTCGTCGAGAGACTCCCGGGCATATTTATCTATTTCGATGAGCCAGCGGAGTAGGTCTAACCAGCAATGGTGAGTGCTCTTTAAAAAAATTAATCTTCCATTAATGTATGTTTTTTTATTTGTTATCACTATCATAGTAATAATAAAGAAATTTGTAAAGTAAATTGCGAGGAATATAAAAAAGGTTGGGTCATCGAAAATTGTGAGGATTTTGATATGAGCAATTTATGGTTTCCATTTATGGTTTACTTATGTTAATCGATCGTCTTGGCGTGATATTAATCAGATTTGCTTATTTATATATTTAAATTCATATCTGCACGCTTATTTCTTTAACTGAAAGATATATTAAATTTATTTTCAGTATCAACAGAAAAGTTTTTTAGAATGAAGAATTGTTCATTGAAAATCTTATGCAGTTTTCTACAAATTTCCTATTTTACACTACAATTAAATTGTGATTTTTAAAAATCCACGGATTCCCTTTCCAATATTTTTAAAATGTAATTTAAGATTTTTAAACTAGTGTCATCATCTGGAGAATTTTATCTGGAGATGAACATATTACTAGTTAGGCTGACTGAGTTGGTTACAAGAATAAGAAAGCTTCTCGCTCCAAAACTATGTGCAAAAGCAAAAACAAAGACTCTATTTTTTCACCATCCAAGTCGATTGCGGCTATATTGAGGCATTTGAAGAAGCATTTAGAAAAAATAAAAAGAGTAAGGGTAAAAGAAAACGAGATTTCAGGGAAGTGTAGAAGTAGAGAAATAAGTGGTTGTAAATGAGCATTTTGCTTAGCAGAACTGGGCTCAGGACGATAATTAAAATAAGAGGTGCAGTGTATCGATGAACCGTAAAATGCCGCCCCTTTAGCTTTAAATTATAACATTATATACCTTTATAGATACGCATAGGTTGCATATGCATACGGAAGATCTGTAAGCATTATATGTATGGCGCTAAGGCACTCAACAGAATGAGCACTTCAGAGTCGTCTTTACTAACTTCGCTTGTTAAAGTTGGAAATATTTGGGAGAACTTGACAGAAGTATATATATACATGGGTCAGTGCCAACCGACCCAGTCAGATTTATTCTTGTTAAATTCGACGCGGAGCGCTATCGGAAACAACAACACCACTCGGAAAATGGATAGTTTTGGTGCGGAGTGGAGGAGAAATGAAAGAAAATCTGAAAAGGAAAGTTCGAGTTTCTTAGCAATCACAATCGTTTGGCTTTATTGGGCAAATTGCAGTATATGCGTGAGAGAAAGGAATCTTTTAAATATTTGGTTCTTGTAACGATTGCCTTTGGATTTGTCTTAAAATTTTATTGTTTGTTATTTTTCAGCAAGAATAGGTTTGTGCTAAAGTGATGAGTTTTTCTTTTTTTAAGAGTTGTCGCCTTTAATGGCTGAACTCATCCCTCTGACTTTTCGCACTGGATGAATGGGCCATGGAGTCCCTTGGCGATACAGGTGGGTCGCCAGCATCACCCTGACAGGTTTAGACATTTACTCCTACGGTGAATAGAAAGTCAGCATCGGCGCTTCCAATTGGGCATCATCAACCCATTGAGCCATTCTATCGCGAAGTGCTGAATAGCAAAGCTCATTTGGGTCTTCGTAATGACTATTCTGGGTCGCTGTGGTCGTTCATTTGAGTCGTTAGGGTCATCGACTTGGATCATTGGGGTTATTTGTTCTTTTCCTGGAGAAAGAAATTGCATCTCTAATAGGTTTTTTTCATAATTTTCTCATTTGAATTTTGCAGTTTTCGCATTTTCTTTCTTATTTTTTGTAAAATGTAAAATATAACAAAAAAAGATTTGAATGGAGATGAAAGGAAATAATGCATTGTTTTACTAATGATTATTTAAAATAATAAATAAAATTTTTAAGAGCGGAAAATGATAGAAAGTTTTGTAGAAATTGCTTTAATAATAAATGTAATAGAAGGATGTAATTCTTATTTAATAAATAAATGACTTGTAACGCAGAAATATTTAATAATATTAATGGAAAGTAACAATTATAATCGTTTTAGTAATAAAATGCAGTGATAAAATATAAAGCAGAAAAAATTGCTAAATATATACAATGTCTTTTATATTCATTTCGAATTTTTACGTTTAGAAAAATTTTACGAACAAAAATTTATTTTTTGAGATCGGTGTGTGTGTCGGGTGAATTATTTTATTTTTGTGCTAATTTTTATATTTTATGTTTTATGTGCTAATTTTTATGTTGTGCTAATATGCTATGATGAGGATTTATCGATTACTGGCATCGATTATAAGGGATCATTTTTAATTTATTTTTGTTGTTCACAAGAAAGAGATCTTTTTATTGGAAATTCAAATTAGACAGTTAAACTTTTTTCTTGAAATTACTTTGAATTTTGCAGCATAAAATGCCTCTGGATTATTCAAAATGGAAAAAGATCGAAGTGTCTGATGATGAAGATGATACACACCCGAATATCGACACTCCATCTTTATTTAGATGGCGTCATCGTGCTCGCCTTGAACGAATGGCTGAACGTAAAGAAGAAAAAGAAAAATTGAATAAGGAGAAATCAACTATTGAAAAGCGAATGCAGGTTAGATATTTAGAATTGCTTATTATTATTTATTATAATTATTATTTTATTACGATTGATAAAATGAGTGAATGGTCCGTATGTAATCCTTTTTTATGTTAAGTTTGACAATAATTGCAGGAAATCGAAGAAAAATTAAAATCAGCTAACTTGGAGGAAAAAGAACGAGTGAAACTTAAACTTGAACGCGATGAAGTTAAAAAACAAGAAGAGGATTACATGAAAAAAGAAGAGGAACTGGCTGAAAAAGAAAGGCTTGAACCATGGAACGTTGATACGATTGGGCATGAAGCTTTCAGTGCATCGGTAATTTACATTAGCTAGTTAGCAGTATATTGGTTAGATTTCAATAAGTTCATTAAAATTGATTGGAAAGCGAAGTTTCTTAATATTTTGGTCTTCTTGGAGTGTTAGTTCCATATGATTAGTTTCATTTAGATTATATCAACAATTTTTGATGGTTCTTTTATCACTATTTTCGAGTTTTTATAAATCTTGAACTGATTCTGAAACTACATTGGTAATTAAATTTTAAGTTTAAAATGCTTGGATTTGAAAGGATTTTTTTGTATTAAGAATGTATTATATATCTATTTCTTATTGTTGATAATTTTTTAAAACTGTTAAATTTAGCGCATTAATAAAATAAGCGAAAAGAAATCGGAACCACCCAAAATGACTGAAGAAGAGGAAAATAAGCGAATGGTACATTTATCTACTTTTATTCTTTACATTCTTTTATTTATTAATTTATATTTTTTGTTTTATGGAAAATTAAAAGAATTTTCTAGATGGCATTCTTCACAGCAAATGAGGAATTGTTGGATCGGTATGGTAAAATAACTGGCTTAGATGCATCAAGAGATTTCCTTTTGGAGCATCCACACTTGGCATCAAATTTTTCTGCGAATTATCTGACAATTCAAGCATTGAATCATGCTATGGAACTTGAAGTGGACATTGGATCTTAGTTTTTATCTTTATTAAATAAGGGACCTAATAGTGTTATTTCACGAATATCTTTGAAACCTTTATTAAATCTCAAAATTTCATCTCAAAATTGTTTATTTATAGGATAAAGAAATGTGTATAATGGCTGAACAAATTATCATAATCCAGTACCTTCTAGAACTCGCTGGGTCATTGTGTGCACTTCCAACAAATACGAATTTCATTGCAAATTTCTTCAAAAAGTAGCTTTAAAGTTCCTTTTCCTTGAGTTCACAATCTTTGAATTTTAAAATTCTTCGAATAGATGCAAATGAATTTCTATTTTAAAAAAGTTTAGGTTGCAAGCAGCTGATCCATCGTATATGTCGATGTTTCGTAAGGAGGTAAATGAATTCTGCGATCGTTTGCGTAAACGTGGTGCTGAAAAACGTCAAGAAGCTTTCGAAGAATATGATAAGGAGGAAAAAGCTAAACGTATAGCTGAATCACCTGGCGGTGTGGACCCGCAAGAAGTGTATGATTCCTTACCAGAGGTATTTTTTATTTTGTTGTTCATTCTTTTTAAAATTCCTTCAGTTGTAATTCACTAGTTCCCCACTGGCTTTTTAGGAAATGCGTAGTGCATTTGACTCTCAAGAAGTATCACGACTTCAAGCAGTCGCTCAAAAAATGGATCGCGATGTTTTTATGTATCACCTACAACGATGTATTGATAGTGGCCTTTGGATTCCTGATGCTAAGACAAAAGGCGGTCAGCATTCCTCTGGAGAGGTTTTTCATAATTTTTTTTAAATTTAATTCTTGAACTTTGCCAATAACTTTAAAAGTTGCCAATTTTTTTAACATTCTTGTCCAGGCTGAAGTCGAATAATACAATATCCTATTTGGATCTGTTCATGGCTAAATGTTTATGGGAGCGTTCGATGAAATAGTTTCAATACATCACCAGTCTCTAAAATAAATGTTTTTGCCTTTTGTATTCTTAATTTTTTTTTTTAAAAGGTGAGACACCAGATGTATTAAAATAAGTATTAATATTTTATTTTTTATTAATTATATCTATTCATTTCTTTTTTTTTTCATTTTTCTACTGCATAAAATTTTCATCCATTTCATTTTAGTCAAGAATAAGAGAGGACAGTAGGAATTTAAAAAGACATAGATGTATTGGGAATCCAAATTATTAATGATTCGAGAATTTGAATGATTTGGCCAAGTTTTTTTATTATACCAATTATTTTGTTAATCTGAAATCAAATCAAATTGCTTAAATTCTATGTACTCCTTGAATTTTTGAATGTCCTCATTTAGTTCTTTATGAATTTTACTTATATAGGCAGTTTGGCTCGAAACTCATAGATTCTTAACTTATTCATTTTTAATTTGTTGCTGTGAAACTTTTTTCCCATGACATCCGTTTCTTTTATTTTATTTTGTTTAATTCTATAATAATAAAGCTTTTTGGCTATTTCAATTTGCACTTTGACTGATGAAAATGAATAAAAGGTTTTAATTTTTAAAGAAGCACTTTTTAACGTCAAAAAATTAAAAAAGTTGAAGCTACTGTTAACCATTAATATTTTTGTGTAGACAAAAAAGATGTAAAAGTGTTTTCATTTTGGTGTTGTATATGGAAAAGGTTTTATTAAAACGGAATTGGGCATAAAATTCCGACACGGAAAGACTTGAACGAATGAAATCTGAATCAAAATAAAAAAATGAAAAATTGCAGCATTGCTTTGATGCGAAAAATACCCTTTTTAATAGAAATGCTAAATGTATGAATACAATTTAAAAATTATGGAGATCACAAACAATAAAAAAAAAAATTACACGGGAGCCAATGAACTGTAATATATTTTGACTGAGGTCCGAGCACCTTGTTTCGATTCCCATCATCTGGTGATTGTAGTGAAATAAGTGAAATAAATAAGTGGACTCACTTCTAGTTCTATCCTTATATGAGGCAATCATTCCAGGAATCAACATAGCCGGAAAGAATGATTTAAGGAAGAACAGGTCAAAATCGACAAAAGTATGGCCGAATAATATCCATAGTTTGAAGTCATAAACTTTCTAATGTTTTCACGGTCATGAAATGCGTCTTCAATTTCACTGCTGCTTTTAGTTGAATTTCATCATTTTTTAAACAGACTGGTTGTCCTCGTCGATCATTACTGAAGACCAATTTTTCGAGATTTAGTGCCGGCAGTTCAGCAATAAGAGCAGCAATAATACCAAAAAAATATGACATAGCAAGTTGAACAAAACAATGTAAGAATACTGTCAATTTGCCGTCGTAGATAATTGGAAATGGTACAATAAGATAAGTAAAAACAACAAGCACCATATGTACAAGATAAGCCTGCAAACTTTCTGCTGTAGAATATGAATAATGTTTAAAATCGAAAATCGAAAATCGAAAGGTAGTTTTATTAATTCCATTTTCTAAATGGATTTATACTAACCGTGTAACATAATGAAGCGAGTGGTATGAGGAATGACATGCTTAGAATCCTATTAATTAGTCCTCCAATTCCAGTGTAACATGCATAAATGATCCAAGCCATTGATAGAGCAAAAACTGTCCTATGAACCGAACCAAAAAGTAGGTGATAAGTAGGCCAATCCCAACCCTGAATGAACATTATGAAATAAATACGCCTGGATTGTAAAATGACAGGAGAGCATGATTATGAACAATTATTTCTGGTGAAGGAAAGCATGGATTCAATTTCTCTGACAGAAGCAAATCTACTGCTAAAAGAAGAAGAAATCTGAATAACTGCTGGGGATCAACCTGTACCTCCATTTCTGGAGCACAATTCGTTCGCTAAATTTTGGTACGTAGGCCTCAGTGCACTTAGTTTTTTCGATTATCCAGCTCAAAATATATAAAATTAATTAATTTAAAAAACTAATTTATAAGTTTTTTTAAAATCCACAGATTAAAACCCAAAACTCCCGGTAGCCCATGAAAAAATAAAAAGTCTTAAATATCTTGTATTAATACTCATCTAATTGAAAAAGCTTGATATTAACCTGAAGAGATGGATAAAGACCGAATATAGCCCAAAAACTCGCAACAAATGCTGAAAACCATCCAAGGACTTGAAATCGAAGTGTTCTGCGAACTTTATATGGACATGCTTGAAAATTCGCTAAGCAATGACCTAACAATAAGCCGATAATATATGGCCCAATACGATATTGTGGTTTTATATACATCAAAATATGGTGCTGAAATTATAAGTGAATTGAAAATGAGATATCGTGGAGAATACGATAAATATTCAAATAGTTATTTTACGATAGGGAAATCGTAAATAATTCCACGTATAAATACTGGAAGAGCAAGGAAGAAGAATATCCATAATTTTCATATTTCAACGATTAATAAACCGATTCGTTTAAATTTAATTCAAAATCAAATTTTAAAAATATCTGACAAAAACGAACAGATAAGAAATCTTTACCTGAATGAAATCAGGATTAAATATTGCTGGTTGCTTCCAAAGAAATTGTGTTGGCGGAAAATTCCATTTTATCATTGCGATGAGTCGAGCAATGCAAGAACCAATTATGGTAGATAATGACAAAAAGTAACCGATCATCGGTGTTTGATAAAGAGATAAAAGGAAAACGGGCGCTATAGCATAAAATATAAATTCAGTCCCAATATACCTGTGAAAATTTTATATTTCTATTTGTTAATAAATTAATTTTACGACAAATTGGATGATTAAAGTCATTATTATTAGCTTATATAGGCTTATTCAGAATTAAAAAATAATTGGGAACGAAAATTTTATAAATAGCACTTCTCCTAATAGCAAATAGCGTTCCTGGTTTGGTTTGCTCCACTAAGTACCAGGATGAGGTATTTCGATGATGCTTTGACCAAAGAATCACATGCGAATAGAGCTATGGACAGCTCCCAGCATTTCACTTTTTCGACCGCAATTTCACTTTTGATGACAGTTTTACTTAAAAGGACAGAAATCATAGCAAATTTTCGAAACCAGTCGAACTCATGCGGAGCATTTAATTCTGCTTAGTTGTGGGTTATGGCAATAAAATTTACCAAACAGTAAATTTCACAATTTTCGCAACTTTTTTTCAATGGATCGAGAAAATTAAAAGCAAAAGCAAACTTAATGAAAAACTTAATGAAAAAATAAAATCTTTTAGCAAAAATTAACAAATTTGGAATAATTTTGAAAAAAAGTCACCATGTCCATGGCATGCATCGATTCTCAGTAAGACTATTAATAAAGAGTACATTTTTCCACCAATGTTTAGGACACTGAACAGCTGGATCAGTTGGTGGCCACATCGGGTGAAAATGTTGTAATGATGATCGCATACCAACATCGACCATAACATAAATATAGGCTGGCCAAAGACGAATTATACGATGCCGATAATATTTTAACCAGTAGCCCAGTGATGTCCAAGTGGGAACAGATTCTAAAATATTTTTCAACCATTTTTTCAGATTCAAATTTTTGAAAAAATTTTTTAGAAAAAACGCTATTCTTCTTGGGTTAAGAAATGAAATTCTACGAATCATTACCTTTACGCTAAAAAAAATAGAAAATTTGCTATAAAATTAACACCAACTAATATAGAAAAAGTATTTCGTAAATGCATAATAACTGAAAAAAACTAATTTTATTTAAAATAAAAATCAAAAAAAGGAATAAAAACTAAATTAAAAATGATTAAATTGAAAATTAAATGAGTTCACAATTTAAAAAATCCGTGACTTCTTTGCGACTTAATTATTGTATTAATTTTACATAGGTAAAAAACTATAAATTACTAAACTAAAAACTATAATTGCTATAAACCTGATGTAAGTTTATTCATTCGTTTGAACCATGTAAATGCAGTTAGTGTGGCACTTAGCACAAAGAATGTGTCAACACTTAGCGTAAAATTTGTAATCCACTGATTTTCAAAATTATTCACCATATCATCCTTAAATTCTTCCACATTTTTCAGATACGCCTGCAAATTATAACTTGTTATCACCAATAATCACAATTCTAATAATCAATGTAACGAAAAGAATCAAAGTTATATTGGAAGATGAAAAAGTATCAATCATAACAAAAGATATGATTTCCAATGGAAACTTCTTAATTTTAAATAAAAATTTTGGATAAGATAAGATTTTGCACAAAAAATTTTACTATAAATTTGAAAAAAAAAAAACACCAACTTGTACAAATATAAATGAATGACCGACAAGAGTCCACACCATTGAAATAAATCGCATACCAAACATGCATGTTATGGTTGACTGCGGATCTTTCGGCATTTCTATCAGTTTTTTGAGATTCTTCTTTGCTGAGAACGACAATAATACTTGAGCTGATGTCACTCTAAATGAATATATCTATGTAAAAATCCATGAATTATAAATATGAATGAAGCAATTTATTCTTTTGAAATCAAAAAGATTTTTTATAAATCGAAAAATTTTTAACTTGAAATTTTTTAAATTCTAAGGTGGAAGAATTAAAATAAAAGCCTAATCTCTAATCTCGATGTTATAAACAAAGATTTAAAACAATATTTTCAATATTAATATGAGAATAAAAATTAAGAAATATTTTATCTAACCCCGTCTGTTCTCCAAATCTTATATGATAAATCGTTGCTATTATAATGAAAAGTACGAAAATTTGATGGATAATAAATTCTGCGAGAGGTAAAGGCTTCTGAAACCACTGTAATTCATGTCGCGATTTTGTGCACGATACATAGTCAATAGGCATTTCATCAGATGATATCTCTGATCGCCAGTGCTCTAATATCTGAAAATGTGGCCGAGCCTATAAACAATCGAATGATTCTGCGATAGCAGCTAAAATTATTCTGTGTTATTTTATTATTGCACTGAATTTCGACCAACGTTTCTTGATCCTATAGATAAGTAAAGCAAGCGCTCATAAGCAAGTTCCTGATTGAAACTAGCTTCAATGATTGGCACTACGGTTAGATTTTAGCTAAGGAGTGAGTCATTCAGCGATAGAAATATGGCTATATATTTAGCAACATCCGGATTTTAATGAAAAGGCGCGAAAGGATTAGGGAATCAAGCCGCTGTCGTTCGATTCGAATCCACGAAGAAACTAACTACTCGATCAACCTTGCGCTAATGCGATACAAATGAAGACAATCCAGAAAACAAACATTTTTCTTTCTCGATTAAGCGTTAGCTTACAAAGAAATTTTCGATTCAAAATGTTGCGAGTATAATGAAAGAAATTTTCAAAAACAAGTTTATGTCACGAAAAATGCCAAAAATTATACACGCAACTAAAATATAACCTTAAGCCTGTCATCGTAGCATATGCTTGGCATGCAAACGCCATATGTGATAGCGCCATTTTTTTCGTTTTCTGAATTATATCCAAAGCAGTAATGAAGCGGGTGCTCTGATTTTGAATAAGGAGCTTCTCCAGCAGCCTGTATACATTCGTAAGCTCGATATATCTACAATAAGTGATGCTTCTGTAATTTAACAAATTTTTAATATTCTCATTAAATTTTTAATTCATTCTTCAGGTTCAGTTTTTTATATATTTTATATATTTATATATTTCCCGTCTGAACTGAGAAGTCGTAAGAATTTCTACAAAAAATTTCTGTAATTACCCATCTGTCTTGATCACGACTAAGGAACTGTTTCGCACTACCTACAGAATACGCCGAATGAAAGAATTCTCGCTGTTCCGGAATCGTGTCATGGTCTAATAAATACGGACCAACCTGCAAGACAATACATTTCGATATTTGCATGTTATTTATGAAAGTGGTAATTTTCTATCTGTTACATTTACAACGAAGAAGGTTTGAGAGAATTCATTGCCAAGCTGGAAACTTCAGCTTTTTGCGAATAAAGATTTGTCTTTTTAGCCTTCCGTCTAGTTGCTGATAACTTTTCCAAGTTTATTTAAAGTCAAAATAAATATAGTATTTAATAAAGGATAAAGAAAATAGCAAAAAACACCTTTTCCAGGCCATTTTTACATCGTTCACTGACCGCCGACGAGTTTGCTATCAAATTTAAAATAAATTTAAAAACGAATTCTTCCTCGAAATTTCGAAGTTCAGCTCTGTTTAAATCAACAACGACAAGTAACAAAAGCGAAATTGTGAATTGCATAGAAAACTAAAAAAAATGAAGTGGATTTTAAGGAAAACAATGAAATCTCCTCGAAATCCGTTTAAAGCGTATAAATATCGTACGAAACGATCAATTTTATGCGTAATTCTACAATTCCCACTTATTTGGCCTAATTCGTCACATAAAAAGTTGAAATTCAAATGATTCGAGGAGAACGAATGAAATTTCAATTGGAGTGGCATATCGCCAAAATTCAGCCAAACGCATTCAACAATGATAGGCACTTTTTTGTAAAGATCAAGTAATATGGGTTCGATTCTTGCTCCTTGGTCACGATAAACCTGTCGTTAAAACGGGGATCTGGTTAATAATAAGAAGAGGACAACAGCTGGCGACATCTGCCCCTCCATCGTCAAAGAACTCCCTAGCAGAGAAATCGCATCCTAATCAATGAAGACTTGGACTGAGATGCTCAGGAAAAGTTTTGAACGCTAGGTAGTACCAATTTTATAATAGCTTAGACGGCAGAAAAAGGAATATTTCATATATACCATAGGATTGAGATGAAAATCTCTGGCCTAACCATTAATAAAACTAACCTAAAAAACTAAAGTAAAACTAACCTAACCATTAATATTGCGCACTTTTTGAAGATCATGCAAGGATATTATATCACAGTTATGTTAGGAGTTCAATTTCAGAGATGAATTTGCGAAAAATAGGTAATAAAAAAATTTTAATGGATGTTTCGGGTGGCGTTGGTTAATTATGATCATGAAAGTTTCCATGAAAAAGATTTTAATTTCGTAAAATTAAAATTGACATTATCGCTTGCATAATCAGAGGCGTTCTTGTTACGAGAAGAAAAAACATTGCTTAACATGGCTTATGTGTTGTTGCAAAATATCGTCTTTATGATTGCTATTATAATATCATCGTCCCTTATAAGCAATCACTAGAATGATAACCTGGTGGTCACTGCTCATCTCAAGATTCGGATCTACAGGAGCAAACCCGAAAACTCGAATGCTGCTGGGGATAAATCTGTGTCTACCCCTTACTAGTTCCTTAACAAAAAATTTCTAATCGTAATAGCAGTCAACTATAGGAAATTTTAGGCACTACTTTACGTAAGAAATCAAAAGTCTTTTACGAATATCACTTTTATATTCACCATTTTCATAAAGAAATTAAGAATTAATAACTAAAGATCACCAGATTATAAAAAATTTAAGTGATATAAACTTGAAATTCTAAAGAATTTAAATAATATAACCTTCAATGAAAATTTTCAAAATTTTTACAAAATGCATATTATCTAAGATATACCAATTTCAATATCAATTTATGTGGTTTTTTCGAAGTGTGGTAGTTGCTTGGTATAACCAATAAATTAATTTATAAATTGATAAAGTAAACATAAAATGAAGTTATTTTACCGACTAATATTCATTTATTGTCTTATACCATAAATTGGCGAATTTTTATGAATTTATATAAATAATCATAAATGATTAACTGTACCAATATAAGAAATGATAAAAATGATAAAGGAAGATAAGGGATACATTCGCAGATACGAAAATTTCTTTACATTTTTTGCATGAAATAATATAATATTTTAAAATCGTTTGTCAAAAAATTGCATGAAAATTCTTTAATTTTGTTTTGAAATTTTATAAATAGACTTTGTTTTTTTCTTCCAGTTTATAGCTACTTCATTTCGGATGGTTCTCACTATTGATATACACTCCTCTATTTAATTCATTCTTCTTTTAATCGTCATTTTTGGCTTGGTAAGCTACATTGATCAATAGGATGAGGCATTTAGATGATAACAAAATCATTTCGAAATAGATAGATAAATCTCCGCCAGAATTTTGAAACCGGGTTGATACTGGATTTTTTTCGCACAAAGACCAGAATCGAACCCATGTTACTTGCTCTAAACAAGAGGTGCTCAATTTTTAGGTTCCTAGGACCACATCTAGTGAAGAGAGTCGTACCTAAAATAAACGTAATATAGCGCAAAAAAATGAAAAAGGGGTAAATCGAAAAATTTTACTTGATTTTCATATTTTTTATTATAAAATTAAAAGAGAAATTAAAAGAAAACAAAACTAGTGGGGTATTTGACTTTTTTTGTAAATTAGTGTAGCATTAGATGTTTGATTTAATGGAAACAGCTGCAATTCTCAGGCTTAAAACGGATGGGACACACGAGCTGCGGGTGATTCGCCCGAAGCAAATGCAATCCGATCGACTCAACCACTAGTAAAAGAATTTCAATGAAATGAAAATGAGAAATCATACGATTGAACAAAATTTATTGCCACCAACAACCTTACGATTTAATTGAAGTTGAGATTATAATTCGCTGACTATTATGATTATAATTTTTTTAAAAGCATTTTAAATTTTTCAACCAAAAAAATAGCAGAATGGAAACAATGCTCGATAGTCTACGTGCTTGCTTAGCGTGGCAAAACCGATGGATTGTGGTAACCACTTACTTATTACTAATTTTGAGATTTGGCGAAATGATGACAGAAATTGGTCATTACATCATCATTCGAATGTGAAACATTGTAAAATCTTTCAGTGATAAGAGATAAGAAAATCGATAGACAATTTCGCTCAGAAATAATTTATTTAGATTGAGTGAAGAGAAAACGAATCAAAGGCAAATTGGGATTTGATATGAATAATATTAGAAAATGGCGAGCGAAAATAATAATTAAAACTCTACAAATTCTGTATAAACTCTATAGAAAGTCATGAATTTAAGCTTATAGATGATAGCAAAGTCTAAAAAAGTGAAAGTTGGTAAAGAAAATTACTACTAAGAGACAATTGACGAAACCGGTGAATAAGCGCTAAGCAACACCAGAAGGTACCATACAACCTGTATTTCTATTAGTGACTCTTTCGAAAAGAGGCCTCATTCTAAAAGCTACTGGAATCAACCAAACTGGAAATGATAAGAGCTATTAGAAGAGAAAAAGCAGTGGCACCAATCGCAGAAGAAGCACCAACCATGAAGAGGCAATTAAACTAGAATCTTGGAGGTACAACTGAATTTGGGGTCATTTTGAAAATAATTCAGTAACGCATAACATAACTCAAATTTTTATGAAATTTACGCATGAAATCATCAGAGTTCAATCGACAAAAGGGTAATTTGTGCAGAATTGGTTCTTTTTTTGAAATATTTACGAATTTCTCGCATAAAAGATAATTGCCAACGATAATAAAAACATTATTTGAACGCATTTTAAAATAATGAAATGAACTAAAAAACTAATAACTTATTCTGACCAAACTTAACCAAACTTATTCTGTAATGGCATTGGTTTTCTTCAAAAAGTTTATTTGATTACTATTCTGGAAGAATCCGGAAAAAATCCCAGCGATTTGGCTTAATTATGAAGAAAAATTAGGTATAGAATAAAATGGCTGTAATGGATTGTACGGAGAGAGATGAAACGGTAAACGCCTGTGGCAGTCATACTTGGCTAAAGAGATTGCATTTGGAGGGAAGAGCCTTAAATTTCTATAAATTTTTAAAGTAGCTTAACTACCTTTCCTTTCCTGGATATTCTCAGCGAACCTTGGCTAAACAATTCTTAGGCAAGCTGCTGGGCCAAAAAATAATTAGTTTAACCTTAAACCCATAGAAAGCTTCAGTAATTCAGCAACATTGCCTTTAAAGAGGACAGGACTTGTTTGAAATCTGCCAATTCAGCCAGTCACTTTATCTGCCAATAAATCTTGATTTTGACTTTGGTCCAGCTTAATAGCCAATAACAAGTTTTTAATGTCGGGAATCCAATCAATTATGTAATCGATTTTATAAATTAGTATATTTTGATCGCATGAAAGCTTTTTTTTTGTACAAACTGCAGCACTAAAGTAAATAAAAATCAATTTCTGGATAATAAGGGAACTAACATGAATCAGAATTTTTTTAAGGAGCACTCACCAGTACTGATTCGACTCGCTCCGCTGGCATGCCAGACGATAGCAATACAGATAGGTCGCCAGCAGCATCCGAATTTTTTGGACAAATATACTCCTGCTGGGAGTAGAACCTCAGCATCGGCAATGCGCAATAACCCATTCTTTCGCTCCCTTTTGCTCTCTTCGTTATGCGGCGATGCCACCCGACGAAGCGTACTGTCTCAGAACATGGAAATAAAACGGAAAATGGCTTTTAATCTTATAAATTTTGTATTGATAAGTTTTATAAATTTAAATAAAAATAAAATTTTTGTTAGTTTTGCGAATGCGAATAAAATGGTGCAAAACAGGCGACCTAAAAAACTGCATTCTTTGAAATATGTATGTTAAATAGGAAATGAAAAATGAAGCGATTGATTGATCTGGAAATATTTAATGGGAAAGATTAAAACTTTTTCTGCATATACACCATACACATCGAACATATTCATCGATAATTACGGCTTATCCTATGGGGATAGAATGGCTTAGTGGGTTGTTAGTGGGTCAGTTCGGAGTGCCGATACTAAGGTCTTATTCCCAGCAGAAGTAAAATCCGAGTGATGCTGCGACTCACCTTTATTTCTATCGCCAAGGGACTCTCTAGCATATTTTTCCGATGCCACAAGCCAGCGAAGCGAGTTTAACCAGTAATGGTGAAAACTCTTGAAAA